TAAATCCTTCTAAGTGTCCAAATAACTAAAATTCTTCTTCAACTACTTAGTTCCAAACCCTTATCGCTGCAAGAAATTTTAAATTAAATCAATACCTTTCTCAAGGATAATGATTCCTAACTCTCAGTTGATTAATCAGAATCTCTTTTTTAATTAATACCCCTAGGTTGCATTAAGTTCATTATGAAATCCATAATTAGGGTTAATCCTAATACAGAAAACTTACGTCTTTCTATCTCTAGAAATACATTCAAGACTTTTTAATTGAGCAATGTTAATTTCATGTAGGAATTTTACTCAAATTCAAACAAGAAAACAAGATGGAAGAAAATTTATACTACTCAATTAAACCTAAGAGAAAAGAACATGAAATAACATTAGAAGAATTCCAGAAAATTTGGTCAATTAGGATTCATTACGTCTAGATACTCAAAGGAAAATTAGAACCTACACATCTTGAAACTAAAATTACAAAAGTGATGAATTAAAACGCTTGATCCCATCCTCCAGCCGTCTCTGAGTCTTTCTTCCCTTCAAAAACCATCCTACATAGGTTTCTGTGCCAAGTTTCCTTTTATATGAGTGGCCCAAGGGCTCATCTTCTCGCAGAAATTTAAATTCTGACACATGTTAAAAGTACATGCCTAAGTACACAGCCATGTACTTTGGCAGTGTACATCTCTGGTTTCTAAAAGACGCCCGACAAAGCTTTCCATAAAAGTACACGCTCATGTACACGGCCATGTACTTTGGGTGTGTACATCTCTGGTCTCTAATAATTGCACTTCACAGCTTTCTTGAAAAGTACATGCCTATATACACGGCCATGTACTTTGGCTATGTACATCTTTTGTTTTGATGATACACTTCAATTGATGCGACCAGTGAGATACACGCTCATATACACGGGCATGTACTTGCCCGTGTATATCTCTGGCTTCATTGTATTCTTGATTCATGCAACCAGTGAGATACACACTCATATACACGGGCGTGTACTTTCCCGTGTATATCTCTGGTTCTTTGTGTGTTTTAATTTCCAATATTTTTTAAAGCTTTTACTTCTTGATCCTTTTTCCTGAAATATAAATAAAATGAAATTAATAATAGTAAATTTTCTCAATGAATAGCTTAAAACTCTCAATTATCATTCATGAATTACAATGTAGGATCAAGTATAGAAAACATTTATCAATGCAAAATCCATAGAAGCTTTATTTGTTCAAAACCAGTTGCAGAATCAGCAATTTTCTGAACAGATTGCTGCATTAACTCAACAAATTAGCAATATGCAGACTGGTAGTATGCCAAATGCACAACTAATTTGTGATTTCTGTGGTGGCAACCATGCAAATGGAGATTGTAACCCTACAACTGTGGAACAAGCTGACCAAATCAGTTGTATGAAAAATTACCAAAGGCCACAACAACCATATCCACCTGGTTTTCAGTCTAATAACAATAGAGGGCAGCAACAGTTTTACAAATGGAATCCATAGAATTTAAATGCAAGAGGAAATACAAGTTCTGCACCTTTTCCAAGTGCAGCACCTCAACTGCAACAGCAATACTTCCAAGGGAATTCCTCTGCATAGTTTCAGAAAAATCAAGGGTACTCAAATGCAAGACCCTTGAGTGAGAAGGTGAATGGGATAGAAGAAACATTATTGCAATTCATGAAGGTGACCTAAACAAATTTCAAGAACCAAGAAGCTTCTATGAAGAAGCTGGAAACACAAATTGGATAGTTGGCTGAGCAATTGTCCAGCAGAGAAGAGGGAAGGTTTCCCAACAGTACAATGATCAATCCTAAGGAACAATGTTAAGCAATTACTACTAGAAGTGGTGCTGTAGTGGCAAGCCCAAAAGCTGCAGAAAAGAAAGACAATGATGAAATAGTAGAAAAGAGAATTGAGCAAGACCTGCAGCAGGAAAATTTCAAATTATTAAAGAGAGATAATGCAGAGAAAAAGGTAGAAACTCCTACACATTTTGAGAGGAAGACAAAGAAACAACTTTTTGAAGAGTCTTACAAGCCTATAGACCCAGAAAAATATAAGAGGCTACCATATCCTCAAAGGGTTCAAAATCCAAAGCAAGAAGAACAATTTGAGAGGTTTCTTAGTGTCTTTAAGAAACTGCAGATTAATATACCTTTTGCAGAGGCATTAGAGCAGATGCCTTCATATGCAAAGTTCATGAAAGAGCTACTTTCTAGAAAAAGGAAGTTGGAACATGATAAGGCTCTACCTTTGACAGAAGAATGCAGTGCAATCCTCAAGAGGAAGCTTCCTCAAAAGCTAAAAGATCTTGGATCATTCAGCATTCCTTATGAAATAGGAAACTGCACAGTTGGAAGAGCACTATGTGATTTAGGGGCAAGCATCAACTTGATGCCATTGGCTGTTCTGAAGAAACTTGGCATAGAGGAAGTGAAGCCCACTAATATAATACTGCAGTTGGCTGATAGATCATACACTTATCCTTATGGTGTAGTTGAAGATTTGTTAGTTAAAATTGACAAGTTTATTTTCCCTGCAGATTTCGTAATCCTAGACATGGAGGTAGATGTTAATATTCCCTTGATATTAGGAAGACCATTCCTTGCAACAGGGAGAGCTTTGATAGATGCACAAAAAGGTGAACTTATGCTTCGAGTCCAGGATGAGAAGGTGGTATTTAATGTATTTGAAGCTTTAAAATATCCTGTGGAAGATAATACATGCATGAAGATAGACATTTTAGATTCTATTATTCCACATTATTCTATTAATTAGCTTGATGAAAAATATTGTGTTAGAAGAAATAATATCTGCAGGAAATGTCAAGTCTGAAATTCTGAATGAGGAATACATCATGGAAGTGGAGCAGCAATTAGAAGTCCTGCCAATTCAAAAACCTGCAGAAAATTCAGTAAAGGAGGAGCTAAAAAAGGATGTTAAAGAAGAGGAAAAGCAGAGGATAGAGTTGAAACAGCTTCCCTCCCACCTGAGGTATGCCTTTTTGGATAAGAAGCATGAGAATCCAGTCATTATTAACAATGAGTTGAAGGAGGAGGAAAAGGAAAAACTGTTAAGAATTATGAGGAAACATAAATCTGCCATTGGTTGGAGTATTGCATATCTGAAAGGTATAAATCCTTCATTTTTGTAAGCACATAATTTTATTTGAAGAACATTTTAAGCCTGTTAGGTTGAATCCAGCCATGAAAGAGGTAGTTAAGAAATAAGTCATGAAGCTACTAGATGCAGGAATAATCTACCCAATTTTTGACAGCAATTGGGTGAGTCCAGTCCAAGTTGTCCCTAAGAAGGGAGGGATGACAGTTGTACTTAATGAGATGAATGAACTCATCCCTACTAGGACTGTTACTGGCTAGCGCATGTATATTGACTATAGGAAATTAAATGAAGCAAATAGAAATGACCATTTTCCACTACCATTTGCAGATAAAATGCTAGAGAGACTTGTTGGACATTCATTTTATTGTTTCCTTGATGGGTATTCAGGATACAACCAAATAGCAATGGATCCTTTGGATCAAGAGAAGACTGCATTTACATGTCCATTTGGGATCTTTGCATATATAAGAATGCCCTTTGGTTTATGTAATGCCCCTGCGACTTTCCAAAGGTGCATGCTTTCTATTTTTTCTGACTTGGTAGAAAACATTATAAAGGTGTTCATGGATGACTTCTCTATTTTTGGTGATTCTTTTGATGATTGCTTAGCTAATCTATCTATTATCTTGCAGAAATGTCAAGATACCAATCTGGTCTTGAACTGGGAAAAGTGCCGTATATTAATTTATATCCTAACTTATTAGATTAATTTATATATTAATTTATATTAATTTATATCCTAACTTATTAGATTTTCATAGTATATGTTACGACTGATTTTATTTTTTATATTTTACAAAAATTTACAACTAATATTTCACAAAATTTATTCATAACTACATTTTATAACTAATTTTTTTTTAACCTTAATCTTTATAATTAAGATTAAATATTTAAAATAATAACTTTTAATAATCTTTTTTTTAGGCTATCATAGCGTTATTCTCCTTTTCACTCTCCTTACAATTCTTCATTTTGTTCAATCTAAAATCTCTTTTTTTTTTTTTTTTTTTCTCTAGAACACAACTCTAACAAATTTAAATTTCTATCAACTTAATCTTATTTTTTAACTTTATCTCTCTAATGTCACACTCATCAAAATCATCTTTAAATCTAACATTTCTGCTAACTGACTTAATATTTCACACTCCTTCATACTTCATCACCCCTTGAACCCTCTAATGCTGCTGGGCTAAAATCTTCTCAAGCTTTGAGAAAACCAGTCTCCATTGTACCTATTTCCTCTTTTAATATGTGTTTTAGACCTTCACAAATTTCAAGGCTTGAGGTGTGAAAGTTATGTAAACAAATTTGGATGAGTTTTGCAGTATAAACGTCTTTAAATGGGATGAAGACATCGTAAAAGAAGATAAAATAATAATCTTATTATTCAAAATTTTTGCAAGGTAAAGGATGAAAATAACTTATTTTTGAAATATTTTAAAATGATTTTATTTTTTATTTAAAATAAAATATCACGTTAATTAAGATAATAAATTATTATTTTATTACTTAATTTTAATTTTTTTAAAGATAAAAATTAATGTGATTGACAATTATTAATTTTAAAGATTAAAATTTTAAATTTAATAAATTAATTTAAAAACACAGTATATTATTTCTGCGTAAATGTTTCTTAAATATGCAAAAGTGAGAATAAACCTGCCATATTTATTGTGGTGTATGATCTTTCACGCTTCTTATCTCATTCGCATTATTCATTGTATCGTCAAACTCAAGCTGCGGGCACAAGCCAGAAAATATCACGTTTTATTATTTCTTTTGAGACACGTGATATTAATTTTATATTAAGTATTAACTTTCTCATTAATCGTACCCTGAGATGCCTTTTTATATAAAAATAATGCCTTTTGAGTTGACTGAATGTGGAGCCACGCTAAAAGTAGTAAGTCACAGGGTTCTTATCCTTTCTATCCGCTGAGCTCATGGGTTGATCTTAAAACGAAAACAAAATAACTGGTTCTTTCGTTTTAAGCTTAATACTCGGTGCTTTATTTGTACATTTTGCGTTATAGGCACAACCATGGAGGTCAAAAGCGCAAACCAACCAGAGGCAAGCACTGATTCCAATTATGACAGAAAAGCAGAAATAAAAGCCTTTGATGAGTCAAAAACTGGTGTTAAGGGTCTTGTAGATTCTGGGGTGAAAAGGATTCCACGCATGTTTCATTCTGGCATTTCCATAACTGAAAACTCAGCCAGTGACTCTAAGTTCAGTGTTCCCGTTGTAGACCTCAAAGACATATACAACAATTATGTTAGGCATGAAGAAGTTGTCAACACAATCAGAAGTGCATGCCACAACTGGGGATTTTTCCAAGTGATCAATCATGGAATTCCAATCAGTGTTATGGATGAGATGATTGATGGAATCCGTAGGTTTCATGAACAAGATGCTGATGTAAGGAAACAATTTTACACAAGGGATTTGAAAAATAGAGTTCTGTATCATTCCAACGCTAGCCTTTACCGAGACAAATTTGCTAACTGGAGAGATACAGTGGGGTGCCATATAGCTTTTGATCCACCCAAACCAGAGGAATTGCCTGCAGTATTCCGGTAATGCATTAAGCAACACCATTTTTAGATTTTACACTTTTTATTTTACTTTATAGAAAGTTTTGATAAATCAGCAAAAAAAATAGTTCTTTTTTAAGAATACACTTCCTCCACGATTTCAATGTAATCCAGTATGATTTTTAAGAATTTCTATTTATTTATTTCTTAATTAGTATTTAAAGAGTTGTTTGAAAATGAATTTTGTAAGAGGAAAAGCAGAGGAAACAAAATCTCTTTTAATTTGATAATATTTTTAGAATAAAAAATATAAAATAAGAGATTAACAAATTTAAAAATAAAAATTTATCATCTTCTCCTTTTTCTTTTTTTTTTGTGAAAAATCTCCTCTCAAACACTCTATCTAGGTTCACAAAAATATATATTTGTTTTACATATCTAGGTGCTTGCCTATTATATGTTACAAGGAGAACATTTATTGAAGTTAACCTAAGATATATAATTATAAATTTCATATTTCATAAAAGGTTTTTCAAGTCTTGGTCACTTGTGCATGTTAGTTTCTAATTTGTTAATTTAAACTATTTGAATTATAGATGAATTGTTTATTCTCTTGCAGAGACATTATTGTTGAATATTCGGAGAAAATAATGGGTCTGGGTTGTACAATTTTTGAGTTATTGTCAGAGGCTCTTGGCCTTATTCCATCTTACCTCAAAGAATTGAGCTGCGCTGAAGGGCTTTTCATTCAGGGTCATTACTATCCACCATGCCCTGAACCCAAATTTACTATGGGCACATCGAAGCACACTGATGCCAGCATCATGACAATACTTCTACAAGACCAATTGGGTGGTCTTCAGGTTCTTCATCAGAATCAATGGTATAATGTTCCTCCTGTGCACGGAGCTCTTGTAGTAAATGTTGGAGATCTTCTACAAGTAAGTGTTATAATGGTTATTTTAAGTGTTTTCAATAGTTTATACTGTTAGCCAAAGTGTTTTAAGATTGCTTTAATGATTGGATTATAAAAGTCAAATCTGGTGAGATGATTTTATGGTTTGGGTTAGGCCTTCAATTATGTTTGTTGAAAGATGTAAACGCTGGTTTTAATTTGGTTAAATTATAATTTATGATTTGTACAAAGGAAAATATAATTTTTGTTTCTATTCTCAACTTGTTTTTCTCAAGTCCCTGTAAAAAAATATACATTTTGGTTCATTATAAATTGCCCAAAAAACTATCATTTGCATCCTTTCGTTCCTTGAATTATCATATTAAATTGCAAAGACATAATACAAGGAGGCCCAAAACATCAAATTAAGTGAACCTAACTTTTACATTGATGCTTTTATAGGATTGATGTTGACTAGGGATTAACATGTGATAGCCAAAAAGAAGTTACACAATTCTTCTTTGATACGGTTTGTGAGGAGTATATTTCTTAATTTCCTTGCTATTGTTGCAGCTTATGACAAATGACATTTTTGTGAGTGTTTATCACCGGGTCTTATCAAGTCATAAAGGGCCAAGAGTTTCAGTAGCTAGCTTCTTTAATGGTCAAGCTAAAGGAGGTTTATCAAAGGTTTATGGTCCAATAAAAGAATTGTTATCAGATGAAAACCCACCAATGTATAGGGAGACCGCCGTAGCAGATTTAATGGCACACCATTTGGCTAAGGGGCTTGATGGGAACTCTGCCTTGCAGCCTTTCAGGTTGTGAAATGAACAACTTTCGAATTAAAATGGAACTTGAAAAAATTGATGCACTCTTGATTCTCATGAAGCTGGTTGTAATGCATTCTAACTTTGTGCCTTCTACTTGTATTAATTTTCCGTAACGAGTTATGTTTGTAAGGCAGCAGCATCAAGTCCTGCTGACACAGAATAAGATAAATTAATTTAGTAGTTCACATTCAGTGTGCATATGTAAATTTAGTTTAAATGAATTTCATTTTATAGAATTAATTTTAATTAGAAGTTAGTTTTGATTTATGTTTGGAAACTTTTGTTATAAAAATAAGTTTATAATAAAATTTATGTATATATTTTTTATTTTTTAAATATTTATATGATGTAAAAATATAAATAATTAATTTTTTAAGTGATATTATTATAATCAAAATATTTTAAAAAATTTAATTTAAATTTTTGTAATTATCTCTAATATAATATAGTTATTTTTTATTTTCTTTTTTATTTACCTCAATAACATATATTTTTTATTTATTTCAATTCATCTGAGTATCAAGCATTTTTATTTTTATTTTCCTCCTCTATTGTTTTTACTTTAATTCACTTTATTGGGAGAGAGGATTACATGGGCAGAAGAGGAAAAAGTAAAGAATGAAAAAGGGGTAACGCGTATAACATGGATTTGTAGTTGTCCACTAATAATTCATATTTTGTAAGTTAATGAAAAGTAATTTTATGTACGATTAAGTAGAACAACTTTTATTGTGAAATAATAAAAAAAATGAAAAAAATAATTATATGATACTAATTATTTGATGTTTAAATAATAGAGTTGTAATTTCATAAGAGACTATAAGGCCAAATAGTTTAACAAATTGATTATTTATTTATTTGTTTATTTATCATTAATCTTTCAACAAAAATGAGAACAACATGAAAACTTGACACACCATTTTGATTCATAGCCATGTAAGTTTTTGTTAAGATAATTTAATTTTAGAAAATTTATTAAAGGACATATTTAGTAAATAAAAATAAAACAAAATGAGAACGACATTATTTTTATGTCATTAGCTTTATTTTATTGTGTAGAACAAAAATGCATTATTATTTACTAATGAAATTAATTTAAATAATAAGCAGTTCGATATTACTTAAATAAAATTTTAAATTTGAGTACTTATATATGAATAATGCTATTCAAACACTCCATTTAGGTGTCTATACCCAACACCGTATGCAGGAGAGTGAGATTTTAATTTAAATTTTTTGAAAATAGACACTATTGGTATATGATGTACGATGTAAACACCTAAACGGGATGTTTGAATAGCATTATTCTTTATATATGTGAAAAATAAATTTTTAATGATAAATTGTACAATCTGTTGTATCTAAATTAAACTAAATAAAAAAAATACATTATTATTTTTGTTTGACTTTTAAACCATACATGTCAAGGAAACAGTCACGTTTTTATTTTCTTTGAGAAAATGGGGCACTCACCATTCTTTGAATCTGCCTCATTCATCCAAAAGATGTATGTATGTATGGACGTGGATTTCATGACCATGGTTGCGTGTCTGTGGACCATGGAAAGCAGTCACATAGATTAAATAATAATTTTTCTTTTCTACCATTGACTAGTATTTGGATTGGTTTAAATATATAATCCCACAATATTCTTCAGTAGTAGAATTTCTGTTAGAAACAGCGTACGGTATTCCTCTAGTTGTGTCTCAAATATGGTTGTCAAAAACACAAACCAGTTAGAGGAATACGATGATTCCACCTATGATAGGAAAGCTGAAGTGAAAGGCTTTGATGATTCAAAAGCTGGTGTTAAGGGTCTTGTCGAGTCTGGAGTAACCAAGATCCCACGCATGTTCCATTCTGGCAAGTTGGACATGGTTGAAACCTTAGCCAATGACTCCAAGTTAAGTATCCCCATCATAGACCTCAAAGACATTCACAAGAATACAAATATGCATGCAGAAGTAATAGGCAAAATTCAAAGTGCATGTCATGAGTGGGGATTTTTCCAGGTGATTAATCATGGAATTCCAACCAGTGTCTTAGATGAGATGATTGATGGAATTCGTAGGTTTCATGAACAAGATACTGAGTTAAGAAAAGAGTTATATTCCCGGGATTTGAAGAAAAAAGTGTTGTATTATTCCAACATTGGCTTGTATAGCGACCAAGCTGCTAATTGGAGAGACACATTTGGTTTTGCTGTTGCTCCAGATCCACCCAAACCAGAAGAAATACCAGCAATATGCAGGTAGAAGGATTGATAACATTTTTCTTTGTTTTATTTAGTTTTGTTAAACTCAACCTTAAGTGGATGTAAGCTTTTATTAAAAAAATATTTTATTATATTTTTATATCTTTAATTTAATAAATATTTACTAATTTTTTTAAACTCGGCTTTATTAACAAAATCGTATTTTATTGTATGACATTTATGCTGTGAATAACACTTGTTACATTACATAGATGATGCTTAATCATTATGACACTACGTATTTGCAGGGATATTGTGATTGAATATTCAAAGAAAATAAGGGATTTGGGTTTTATAATCTTTGAGTTATTGTCAGAGGCTTTAGGACTAAATCCATCTTACCTTAAAGAATTGAATTGCTCTGAAGGACAACTTATTTTGGGTCACTACTATCCTCCTTGCCCTGAACCTGAATTAACTATGGGCACTACCAAGCACACTGATAGTAACTTCATCACTTTACTTCTACAAGACCAACTTGGTGGCCTTCAAGTTCTTCATGAGAATCAATGGGTCAATGTTCCTCCGGTACATGGAGCTCTTGTTGTAAACATAGGAGATCTTTTACAGGTAAAATATTCTAAGTCAGATTGTCAAATTTTAGAAGTTCATTTGTATTTTACAGGTTACTCATCGTAAGAATTAATTAAGAATTAGGATACAATCGAAAAGCATGAAATAAAATTGAATAAATGATTGTAGTATTTTTATTGAGCTCTTAATTATATTAGTTTTGAATAATGCCTCCAAAAAACCCTGGTGGGGAAAGTTTGACTACAATTATCAAACGTGTAAAATATGGCATTATTTAATTGCCCAACTTAGACTAGTATGGGTTCAAAGAATCTCAATCAACCAGCCTTTCCTGACTTTTCAAGTTTAATATGAACCCTTGAATAGTTAGGTTCATGTCACTCCAATGAATCCTTTTCGTTTGGATAGCTACAGCGGAATATTGATCACCAACTTGCTTTTACTTGCTTGTTACGAAAACAGTGGCGGACTTTCTATGAAGTTTCTTGTCATGGACTTTACTATTTCAAAGAGTTTGCCTAGCTGTGATCTTTGTCATTTCCCCACAATGATTTTTATTTTCTTTGTATGATTAATATAATATATATTCTTAGACAAGAAAAGTCAGAAATAGTTGTCTTTCTATTTATGTAAAAGCTTGTTTATGTATTATCCAAATAAATTTATTACTGAACATATATTTATTTAATTATATGCAATTCTGTCTGGTCATAATGGTTTTCTTGTTAACAAAGCATATTGAGAAGAGAATTACAAACTATAAAAATGAAGAAAAAAGAAGGTTATCAATCCAAAAACTGCAAAATTCATTTGTTTCAAATAAAATGACAAACCAGGAAACCATATAAGAATGGGTAGAAGCTTCTTCATATTAATCACACCTCATTCTCTATACATTATTTCCCCGTCTGCGCCTAAATTTGTGCATACCAGAATGTTTCTAGTGAACTGCAATCATAGGTTTGAAATGTCATGAATGATAACTTGAAGCTTTGATATTTCTTCCATCTATCCTTGCCAAAATTTAGTATTACTATAGTTAACCCTTATTATAATTGATAAACCACTCTCTATTTGCATGTTTTCCTCCATATATATACGTCTTTGATTAAACACCTGAATTCTGTTAATTAAAACGAAATCAATAGATTGCTTCTTTATTGACACAATTTGTGAGGATAGCATTAATCAATTTATTTCATAATGGTGCAGCTTATCACAAATGACAGGTTTGTCAGTGTTTATCACCGGGTCTTATCAAGCAGCACAGGCCCAAGAATTTCTGTAGCAAGCTTCTTTATAAATTCATATGACCCAGTTGAGGGTGCATCAAAGGTGTATGGGCCAATTAAAGAACTACTTTCAGAAGAAAATCCACCACTCTACAGGGACACTACCTTAAAAGATTTCTTGTTACATTATTATGCAAAGGGCCTTGATGGAAACTCTTCCTTGGATCCCTTCAGGTTGTGAACTGACCATGCGAATGCCCTCTTAATTCTCATGGATCTGGCACTAATTTATCTAAATAACCAGCCAGTTTCTTGTTTTCCATGTTTAGCAACCTTTATATAACAGCACTAATTTGTTGTTGTTATTATTTTAAAACTAATTTGTAACTAAATGTAAGCGGTAATAATATCATTCCTAGTGAAATTTACATATTTTATAACTACGTATATTTGTAATAATTCTTCATTCAGTTCATGATCTTAAATTTGGTTTATATACAGTATTTAAGAACACTTAAGAAAAGTTTATTTACATAATCTTGTAGATTTGATTAACTGAATCAAGTTGGGGAGCCAAAAAGCACCCATATGGAAAAGAAAAAACAAAAAACAAAACGGAAAAATACAGACTTTAACGTGGTTTAACATTTTTTTATCTCCATTTATGTATTCTTAATACAATTTTATTATTTAGTAATTTTTTAAAATCTCAACATAACTTTATTATTTTTAAATTTTTGATCAAATAAAATTACAAATCCTATGACGTATAATTTTTCAATGGACAAAATTGCAAATTTTCTACTTGGCATACAACTACTCAAGCTCCAAACACATACTACTAGAAACATGCAAATTTTTTGTTTGTATTACAAACAGATTTACAGATAATTTTTTTTATTTAAATTTTTTGTTGGAGAAATCTATATGTAATACAGACAGAAAAAATCTGTTTGTAATCAACCAACCATTTAGCGTGTAACATCATAGACAAAAATTCTGTAATTTAAAATTGAAGTGAAAATTTTTTAGTATCAATTACAGATGAAAAAAATTTGTCTGTAGTCTTAATTTTTTTTAAACTTTTTATGTAACTTGTTACAGATAATTTTTTCTTTCTATAACTACATTTGGTAGATTTACAAATGGATAAATTTGTTTGTAACTGAATTGCAAAATGCTCTATTTCATTAAACTATTTATAGACAGAAAAAATACACCTGTAATGTGTGAAACATATCAAAATCGTGCCTCTTCCTTCTTTTTCTTCAGTTTCCATAATTTATCTTGACTTGAAGGCACGACACTTACTTGCTAGTAGAAGAAAAATGTTAACAAGAAATAACTTTTATAAATGTCTCTTTATGGTTGAGGTGTCTATCTCTCTTATCTCCCTCTCTCTAGCATCTTCAGTTTTTTTACCATTGCGAGTGGTTAGAGCATCCATTTGGAAAATAATTTACATCATTGTGTTATTAATAAGATACTCTAACTTTTAATTAATTTAGTTTTTAAATTTTTTATGTAGATCAAAGACTTATAATTTCTAAGATAGAGTTGTAGGATTGGAGATTGTATGACTGATGGATGGGCATACAAGTTCTTCCCGGAACCTAATTATTATTTGCTATGGGATTGTTTGTGTTTGCGAAGATTATAGAATATGTATGTTGTGTATTTACAATGGCATAAGCTCTAGAACGGTTTAGGATTGTGATATGTGTGTTTATGATTTATTTATTAATATATTTTTATATAATATATAGATTACGTAAATTGAAAATGTATATTTTTGTATTAGTCATTAACATACGTAAGGAAATGTTCATAAATTAGGAGAAATTTTGCCAAAATTAGAATTTTATGTAATGTAAAATAAAAGGTTGATACAATATTGTGTACTTATATTAGGTTTATAGAGTTCTTGATCGAGATGTTTCTTGGAAATTGTTGATGGATGTATAATAGGTTGCACTGAGGCTGAGGGGAATAGAACTTGAACTCTATGAGGGTGTTAAGGAATTCATATGTATTTGTTGTAATTCACAGTAATTCATTACTGACCAAAAAGTTAGGTATCCATGTTCTAAGTATAAGTGTAGAAAGTTTTTGCATATTGATTCAATTAGGTATGATTTGTACAAATTTAGATTTAAACTTGATTATTAGATATGAACTGAACATGGAAAAGTAGTTAATGTAGAAAATAAGTTTAGAGTGAGCTATGTTGGAGGCAATTCAAGTATATCGCAATAAGGTGAGAATGTAGGTAATGTGGGTTAGGAAGAAAGCAATGGTCGTTATCAAGAAGTGATTTATAATGTTGTTGGTCCCAAATTTAGAACTTTTCATGATTTTAAAGTTGAATAAGAACCTAATGGAGAGAATGAGTACGTACATTCAGAGTTATCATTAGCAGTAAGAATGTTAAGCATTAAGTTAGAAGGCAATCAAAGTCAAAGCTTATTTGATTAATAGGCTACATTAATCAGTGAGTTTAGTCCCTAACCTAACTTAATCCCAAAAGACTTTTACTAAACAAAAAAATTAGTTTCCAAACTTGGTTTAAAAGAAGTCAAAATTTATTATTGTTTGAAAGGTTGCATGCTCTATTACAAAGACGATGTTATTTTGACCAATTGCAAATTTTGTGAAGAGCATATATTTAAACAAAGAAAAGGTGGTAGAAGTGGTAAACATAAAGATATACTGCAAACTAGAATGCATTATTTATCTTTAATCTCTAGGATAAAAAGATTGTATATGTCTATGAGCTCAGATCCTTATATGACATGGAATAGTGAGAATAAGAGGAGTGATGGGGGGTAATGACTCAGACATCTCATGGTGATGCTTAGCAATATTTTGATCAATTGTATCCCGAGTTTATGCCTAATCCTAGGAATATAAGATTAGGGTTGTGTGCTGATAGGATTACTTTAAACAATCAGTTTAGTAAATCATATTCTTGTTAGCTCAAATAATCAGTTTAATAAACCATATTCTCGTTGGCCTATTGTGGTTACACTTTTTAATCTTTCTCTTGAAATGTACATGAAAAATTCATATTTGTTCTTGAATTGTATAGTTCCTACTCCAGAAAATCTAAAGGCTAAAATTGATGTATACCTTCAATCTTTGATCAATGAGTTAAGAGAGTTATGGTGTGAGGGTATAGTAACTTATGACCTATCAAGAAAGTAAAATTTTAATATGAAGACAACATTGATATGGACAATTAATGATTTTTTTACCTATGGAATGTTGTCTAGATGGATTACTCAAGGAAATTTGGCATGCCCAATTTGTATGAAGAATACAAAGGCATTTACCTTGAAATATGGAGAAAAAAATTCGTGGTTTAATTATCATAGGATATTTTTAGATATGGAACATCCTTATAGGTGTCAAACCAACAAATTTAGAAAAGTAACTATTGAGAATGAGGAGCCTTCGATCCATCTATATGGTCATCAAGTATGAGATAGAGTTAGACAAATTTCCAAAACTACTAGAAGTAAGAAAATCTATCAGGTTTCCTGGTTATAGGGTGACATATAAATAGACTAAACAAAGTATATTTTAGGAGTTGTCATATTAGAAGGATAACTTAGTTTGCTATTGTTTAGATGTTATGCATGTGAAAAAAATGTGTTTGACAATATCATGAATATTGTGATGGATACCAATCAAACTAAAGAGAATATAAAGGCAAAGTAGGATTTAGAAAAGTATTGTAGGCATCTTGATATGAGGTTACAACAACTTGTAGATGGTTAATGATTAAAGTCAAAGGCAAATTACACCCTGAGTTTACCACAAAGGCAAGATATATGTAATTAGGTGAAGGAATTGAAAATGCTTGATAGTCATGCTTCAAACTTAGGCCAATATATGAATGTTGAACAAGGAAAGTTTTTTGGGATGAAAAGTCATTATTGTCACATATTCAAGGAATGTCTTCTAACTGTTGCATTTAGGAAGCTACCTGACCATGTTTGGAAGACATTGACTAAGCTAAGTTTGTACTTTAGGATCTGTGTTCACCTACTCTTAGTGTTGATGATCTGTTAGTGATGAAAAAAAAACACTATGTGATTTTGTGCAAATTAGAGTGTTATAATAAATGTCTAAAATAAAGCAAAAGTGTAATGACGAACGTGATTTAGCATATAGCTTATAGCCATAAGTAACGACAACTAACGTATATATATTCAAAGCGTAATATGGAGAATAAAATTGGTCACACAAAACACTTAAATCTCAAAGCTTAAATACATCCAAAATATCTCACAGTATTTCCTCACTGGAGTATACACTCGATACTCTCTGAATACAAAGAGAAGATATGAAGTAAATAACTCCTCTATGTGAGAGACTACGCTTTGAATTGGGATAACAAACATTGTGATATTATTTAAATCAAGAAACTCTCCAATTTATACAATTCTAGTTTCCTATCTTTGTCGTTGATTGTTGTAAAAAAAAAAAATCTTGCAATTCTAAGAAACAATACTTACTTAGAATTTAGAAACTAAACTAAAGGAGAGATTTACTTTGCTTTGATAAACTAAAATAGAATCAAGAAAGAGTAAAGGCCACACGTTAACAAATCTCCACCCTGGCTTAAACTTTATTCATTCTCTGAAAATCTTGTGTTGTCTTTAGTAGCTATGAACACCAATTAAGTTCAAACAATGTTTGAACTTAGATACTATAAGTGGCTTAATCATTATGTCGACTAGCATGAAATGATATATGACGTCAAATGTTTGGTTCTTTCATGATACATTTGATTTTTGGTCAAATGTATAGTACTTTGACTATCTTAGTAAACTATTGTTTTATTTTGTTCTGAACCCAAATTGCCAACCAAACCTCTAAGTCAAATGCCTTCCTTCACTGCTTCTATTACATCTATATATTTTGCTTTTGAAGTAGACAATGCAATAGTAGACTATAAAGAGGTTTTCTAACTAATTGCACTGCCCAAAAGTGTGAAGACATAACCCTTCAAAGATCTCCTTTTGTCAATATCTCCAGCGTAATCAAAGTCAATATAACTAATAATACCACTACTAGTATTATAACTCTTATGATAAATCAAGCTAACATCTAAAGTACCTTGAAGATATCAAAGTATCAATTTCACAGCTTGCCAATGCATCTTGCCAGGATTCCCTATGTACTTACTAGCAACACTAAGAACATGTGATATATCTGGACGTGTGTAAACCATAGCATACATGATGTTTCCAACTACACTCGTATAAGGCTCATGTGACATTTGTTCCTTTTCTATAGCAAATTGTGGTGGCATTGCAGCCAATAGTTTGAAATGG